TTCCAAACAGAACAGGAAACCAAAGCAGACCCGAACCCGACTCACGGTCGACTGCACTTGACGCCGCGATCGATCGGACAGAATGACAAAAACCAATAAATCGATTACAAGGTCTGTGGTGGACCGGACATGTTGCCGCAGTCGATCGTCAAAAGTCCAGAGACCACCCTGTCTTGTGCATGTTCGCAGTTGACCGCCGCAAAGCTCGCGGTCGACCGTCAAAGCTTCCAAAATGTTTCCTGCTTCCCAAAACCTGTTCTTCTACAAGGATCGGTGAGTCAACTGCAATTGTATGTTTAAAGAGATTTAGTAGAGCAGTTGTAGAAGTATATGGAGATGAATATCTAAGGACCCCTAATGTCGACGATGTTGCAAGGTTAATGCAAAAGAGCGAAGAAAGAGGTTTTCCAGGAATGTTGGGAAGTCTAAACTGTATGCATTGGCAATGAAAAAATTATCCAACAGTATGGGCAAGACAATACTCGGGACGTCATAGAGGTCCAACCATTATTCTTGAGGCAGTAGCATCAAATGATCTATGGATATAGCACGCATACTTTGGCTTACCAGGATCCAATAACAATATTAATGTATTGTAGTCGTCTAATTTGTTTGACAATCTATCATAAGGTATTGCTCCTCCTGCTCATTACACAATTCAAGGAAAAAATTATGATGTTGATTATTATTTGACAGATGACATATATCCAAAATGGCCAACACTTGTTCAAACCATTTCCAATTCCGATGATAAAAAGAAACAATATTTTGCAATGATGCAAGAAGCATGTCGAAAAGATGTGGAGTATGCATTAAGTGTTCTCCAATCACGATTTGCTATCATCAAGGGGCCAACCCGTTTTTGGGATAAACGAACTCTGCATGATATCATGACCGCTTGTATTATAATGCATAATATAATTGTCGAAGATGAACGTGAAGAGCAAGAAGATGTTGTCATTTCAACTCCACAATCAATTCCAAATGCTAAAAATATAGAGATAATCGAAACTGAACGATTCCAACGGTTCCTTGCTCGACATAAGACGTTGAAAAACAATGAAGCTCATTTTGCACTTCAAAATGCATTGATTAAACATTTGTGGGAAAGACATGGAAATGAAGCGATGTAACTTTTTTAATTAAAGTTTTGATGTATTTCAATATTAGTATTTTTATCTTCCATCTAATTTTAATATCATTTTTAATTACTTGGTTCTTGGAATTTTATATTTCAATTAATAATATTCAATATTAGTCTCATTTTGATAGTATCGATAAGACATTTCCAACTATAAATTTTTTATTTAAAAATAATTAGTAGGAATAAATTTATGTTGATTTTAAATTACTAGTTACTAACTAAAAAGGATATGGAAGTAATAAGTAATTGTTTATAAATGTGTAAAAGAGCAAAGTGGGTATTTAGAAAAAAATTGCAGCCACCTACAAATTTAGGAAAGATGTTACATATTTGCAGCCTCATTTCCTCCGGCTGCAAAATGCAGTCGGAGATGCATGATGATTGGAGCAATTCGGGGCTGCAAAATCCAGTTTTGTAGCCCCGTTGGAGTTGCTCTTAAGAAAAAAGTTTTGGAGATATAAGTGGTTATGCCGGATAGCAGAAGCAATCTAATATTCTAGTGAACTGTAAAGCACTTATTTCGCCGTGAAGCAATTTAGCTTTTGGATTGCCTTACCGTCTATCTCAACATCAACCTTAATTTATTTTCATTTTATTCAAGAGTATCAGCATAGAAAAGTAAATAAGAAATAATTATCTTACCCCATTTCCGATTATGAGTTTGATGAGAGTGAAGAACAAAGATAGGGCCTTGGGGTACCAAGTCGTCAAGATAACATCAATTTGGAAACTTTGATGTACCGAATTGTCAAAAAATATTTTCTGGATATCAAACTTATAAAAGAAACGTGATACTTTAGGATATCAAAGCAAAATAGTTATTAAATTAAAAAATGATTGTGATTTAAAATAGGGGTTTTTGTCTTTTACCCCAAAGTTTTACTCCAACTTATTTTCAAACCCACCTACTTTCATTATGATTCGTACACCCAAAGTACAACTCTCACTTATTTGAAAACTCAAGTATCAAATACACCATGTCTATATACTGTATACAAAAAATAAAAGATAAATCCTGAAATTGCCCTTCTTTTTTCCCTAATAATTACCCAGGACTCAATTTCTCTCTTCCCTCTTTCTATTTATCCTCTCTCTCAAGGAAAAAAATCCTAAAATTTCTAGGGTTTTGATCTCTGCAATGGCGTCTGATGTCAACTCACGTGCTTCTCTTTGCCAAATCCCTCCGTTGAAGAGACCGCGATAGTGGCAGTGGCAGTTGGCCACTCGGTCCGCTTGAAGCTAACCAGTGGGAAGTGGTATGTTGCTTCAAGTTTGAGGATCTTTATGGATTTTGATGCTGGTTATGTCTACAACTTCCTTTTCTTTTTATTATTGATTTTGTCTAGTGATAATAAAGTGACATTCTTGGTATTCAGTACAATATATTTCTTTTCATTATTTGAGATTTAAACAATAATTTCTATGATTTGAGAAAGCCTGATTTTTATGATGAGAAATTCATAGATACTATATGTTAATATTATGAAATTTTAGGGTTTTTTTTGCAATAGCTTGTGGAAGATGTCTCGATATTATAAATTGAGGGGTTCTTATCAAGCTTGTGCTTCAGGATATGGTATGTGCATAACAAATTTGCTTATATATATATCTAAGTTTTGGTGACTAGGTTGATGCATAGAAGATGTTTGATGGAATGACAAAAGAGATATAGTTATTTGGACCACAAAGATTAGCAGTTATGCGATATTGCGGTTAGTTGATGATGCAATAGAGGTGTTTGATAAAACTTCTAAGAGAAGTTTGATTCACCACCACGACCTTAACCTACTGATATGTCTTCCGGTTGCTCCTCGCCATGCTCTATTTCTGCTAACACCCAATGTAATTTATAGCTAACCCTCAATAAGAAACCATTCGTCAATACACACTAACTTTTTGACCAAATGCCTGAAAGAATCCTCCACCCTTGGCATTCAATCCGATCTTTGCATTGGTCTCACATTGCAGCCCAAACGGCAGAACAACTACAGTCTGCAATATGATCTACCAAGTTGTCTCTAATGTATCGTGTTGTGTGAAATTTTATATATTATATATGTATGAATGATTTGTGTGTATTGCATCAAAAGTTGTATCCAATGTATTGTGTTGTATCAAATTTTCTGTTAGAAATTTATCAATGTATCTAGTAGAAATGTATACAAAGTACACGCTATAATAAATGTATCAAATTTTCCTGTAGTCAAAATATACTGTTTGCATCTCTAGAGACAATAAAGGGATATATTTTAACAATAAAAAGCTACACTTCTGCTATAAAGAGCTATACAACTATATAAGGAGCTATATTTTAGAAATAATGTATTATTTTGGCACAAAGTGCTACACTTTGTTCAGACATTATATAAACGAGACTAAACATATCAGGTATAAAGAATTGAAAATACAACAGAATATATACATAGTCATTCATTTTCATTGATCAAGAAATTACCAACTCGATGTATTTCTATATTTTCCGAGACAATAAAGAGTTATACTTTAGCATTAAAGAGCTATACTTTTGGAATAAATAGCTATACTATCGCATAAGGAGTTGCACTTTTATTATAAGGTTTTAAGCTTTAGTATAAAGAATTACATTTCTAGAAATTGTGTAAATGGCAATGAACATGTTAGTTATATAAAAGAATTGATCAAACAACACCTTGTATATATTACATTGTTCAGAAAAAATAATTCGATTTATTTTTAGTATAGCGAGTTACACTTCAGCATAACTATTGAATAAAGAGCTAGACTTTTAACATAACAAGGTACACTTCAGCATAGCAAGTTACAATTTTCCCAAAAATTATATAACCGAGAGTGGACAAGTTAGTTATATAAAGAATTGATCAAACATCACATTGTATATATCATCATACATTTACATTGTTCAAAAAAAGTAATGATTGTTTTTTTTTTCAAATTAGAATTTTCAGAGACAATAAAAGAGCTATACTTTAGCATTAAAGAGCATCACTTCAAGCATAAAAGAGCTACAAAATTTCATAAAGAACTACACTTTACAAATAAAGTACTACCCTTCGGCATAAAGTGCTACAAATATGCCCAGAAGTTGAAGGAGTGAGCAAGAATGGCGAGGGAGACGGCATGGAAGAAGATGAAGAGTTTGGTGTTGAGGAAGACCTCTTGCAGGTTAGCCAGGAAGTACATGAGGAGCCCGCATCAGACCTTGGATACAAGGGTCAAATCAACTTCTTTCTCAGCGATGACGATGATATGTTATGGACGGTGCGCTTATGGTGCCCATAGTACCTGTGGCTTACCAGATCTTTGCCAGTGACGCCCTCGATCAGGCTCACACTCATGCTAATGTCGTTTTTTCTACCTCTTAGGATTGAGAATCACGTCTTAGGGCTATGGAGATTAGCTCTATTTGGGAAAGTGAAACAAAAGAGAGAGGCGGGTTTGGGGTGCGGGGGGGAGCTGTTCTATTTGGGGATAAATGATAGTCTAGGAATTTTTAATTTATTGGGGAAATATGATATAAAGAATGAATATATTATACATATTGGATTTAAAAGTAATGGGATAAGACACTTTGAGTTTATGAATGTTTATATAAGTGAATGAATTTTTTAATAAGTGAGAGCAAAACTTTGGTCATAAGAGAAAAACCCCTTTTTAAATATTAACGCCTCAGTCGGTAATGAAATGGTTCTAAGTCCACTCTTTTGCGGCCAGTCCCTCGGTAATGTATCATACAGAGCTCTCCTTGACCAGCAGACTGGGTAGTAAGTGAGAATCAAAATAGTTTAATTGGGCTGGGCTGGGCTGGGCTGTGCCTATCCTGCTATCAGCCCAAGCTTAAAAGCAGAACCTGTTAAAATGTTGAGATAAGATCCCAAAGCGAGCAAATCCACAGGAGAGAAAAAGAAGGAAGAGAACCATGCGCAGCATTAGCAGCAGCTCCTCGAGTCCCCTCGTCTCCGCGCTCATCCAGTCATCATCATCATCATCCTCCGCAAAACCAAGAACACTCCTCTTTAACAACTCCAAACCCAAACCCATCAACCCAACATCCCTCACTGTCACCCCTAACAACCCCACTAATTCCCCTTCTCACATTGAGAAGCTCAATGTGCTTCTCCTTCAATCTGGTGCTCTAATGGCCTCCGTGAGTGACCCTCTTCTTCTTTTTTTTTTCTTCTTCTTGTTTTCCCCTAATCATATTAGTATAAATAGTGATTTTAATATTGGGGCTTTGGGTTGGTAAAGGTTGGGGTACCTGGTGCCTTGGCAGTGACTGGGGAGAATGGGGGAGATGATCTGGTCACCACCTTGGTCTCTGGTGGCATTGTTGCTGGTCTCTACCTTTTTGTTATTCCGGTGAGTCATTTCCGTTCTCACGTTTGGATACAATTAGATGATGAACTGGGAATAAAAACAAGGCTAAATGGCACTTAAATAGCACAAAGCTACCCCGTTTTGGCACCTATATACCGTACATTGTTTTTTTTTCTTTGTCACAAATAGATATCATAGGGTGTTTAAAATTGGCACATTAGTACCCTCGATTATGTAAATGTGAAAACTTTCACCTGAATGAATGTTCGCATATGACACTAAAATGTTAATTTTATATCTTCCTAGCCATTAATATTTGTCAAAGTTATCAGTAAACATGTCTCAACTCTATGTAAAAGTAAAATTGAGATAAATTTTAAAAAGAATTTTAGTAGAGTTTATAGCAAATTTAACAAATTTTTAACAGTTAAAAACTCTAAGGGCTTGTTTGGATTGAGGGGAATGAGGGTGAAGGGAAGTTAGGGGAACCATTCACCTCCATTCACCTTATTTGGGAACACTTAGGAGGTGAAGTTAATTCACCTCCATTCACCTTGATTGTTATCCCCCAAATTGGGGTGTAACCAAGGGGAAGGGAATTCCCTTCCCTTCCCTTCCTTTCCCTTCCCTTCCCTTCACTCAGTTTTCCTTAACTTCCCTTCACCCCCTACGAATCCAAACAGACCCTAAAATTAGTGTCCAAGTATCATGGAGAAAAGTTCATGTGAAAATTTTTACGTATGCATCATCAAGGGTACTAACATGCCAATTTTAAACAACTTATGATATTTACTTACCACAAAAACAATTCATGGTATACAAGTGCCAAAATAGGAAAACTTTATGGTATTTAAGGGGCTGTTTGGTTCCCGTTTTGGCACCTATATACCATACATTGTTTTTTTTTTCTTTGTCACAAATAGATATCATAGGTTGTTTAAAATTGGCACATTAGTACCCTCGATTATGTAAATGTGAAAACTTTCACCTGAATGAATGTTCGCATATGACACTAAAATGTTAATTTTATATCTTCCTAGCCATTAATATTTGTCAAAGTTATTGAAAGAATATTTTGGTTGCCTTTCTCATTATAAATCGTCAGAATATATACACAAGATTGTAGCATAATCTTAGGCTACATATCAGGAAACTAATTATATACATTGACTGATTTTAGGCTAGAGAATAGGAGGCTAATTATACGGCTAACCATATATATTGACTTTACTATATTTAACAGACTTTACTATACTTAACACTCCCCCGCAGTTGAAACGGGAGGTTTACGAACGATGAGACTGTCCCGAAAATCTTCAAATAACACCTGTGGCAAACCCTTAGTGAAAATATCGGCTATTTGATAACGGGAGGGGACATGGAGAACGCGGACTTGTCCTCGTGCAACCTTCTCTCGGACAAAATGGATATCCATTTCTATATGCTTTGTACGTTGATGTTGAACTGGATTACCCGACAAATAAATAGCACTGACATTGTCACAATACACCAAAGTAGCTTTCTTAATCGGACAATGCAACTCTAAGAGAAGGTTTCGAAGCCAACATGACTCAGAAACCACATTCGCCACCCCACGATACTCAACCTCGGCACTAGAACGAGATAATGTGGGTTGACGCTTAGACGACCAAGAGACCAAGTTGTCCCCTAAAAAAACACAATAACCAGATGTAGATCTCCTCGTATCAGGGCACCCACCCCAATCTGCATCAGTGTAAGATACCAGAGAGGAAAAAGACGATGGATACAAATGTAGGCCATGATCTAATGTACCCTGAACATATCGAATAATCCGTTTGAGAGCAGACATATGGTCCATCCTTGGATCATGCATATGGAGACAAATCTGTTGGACGGCATACGAGATATCCGGCCTCGTGAAGGTGAGGTATTGTAGAGCCCCTGCAAGACTCCGATACAGAGTAGGATCATCAAAGGGAGCACTAGATGTAGCACTAACCTTTGATTTGGTGTCAACCGGAGTAGCTGATGATTTACAAGAGGTCATTCCGGCACGTTCAATTATTTCTTCGGCATATTTGCGTTGAGAAAGGAACATACCACCCTTATGTCGAGTCACCGCAATACCCAAAAAATAATTCAATGGACCAAGATCCTTCATAGCAAATTCGGAACTAAGAAGATCCATAATAGAGCACCGGAGAGCATGAGACGAAGCAGTAAGAATAATGTCATCAACATATAATAAAATATAAGCCATTTCTGACCCCTTGCTGTAAATGAACAATGAGTTGTCACACCGACTATTAGTGAAACCGATAGACATAACAAAATCAGCAAAGCGCTTATACCAAGCTCTGGGAGCTTGCTTAAGCCCATACAAAGACTTACGCAAGAGGCAAACATAATCTGGATGGGTACGATCCCTATACCCCACTGGTTGATGCATATATACTGTTTCTTGAAGCTCACCATGAAGGAAGGCATTCTTGACATCCAATTGATGAATTGACCATGCCTTAGAAAGAGAAAGACTGAGAACAGTGCGAATCGTTGCCGGTTTGACAACCGGACTAAAAGTTTCCCCACAATCAATGCAAACTTGTTGAGTTTTCCCATCACCTACAAGACGGACTTTATGCCTCTCAAAATCACCGTTAGATTCAAATTTATGAGTATAAATCCACATAGACCGAATAACATTACCAGGAGGTTGGGGCACCAAATCCCACGTCTTATTTTTCATAAGAGCATGATATTCATCATCCATGGCCATTTTCCAATTCTGGTCACGAAGTGCAGCTATTGGGTTTCGAGGCAAAGGGGACTTCGAAACTGTGGTGTGTAATGCTTGATATTTTGGGTTGGGTTTGTAAATACCATGCTGACTTCTAGTGACCATAGTGGGCTTAGGAAGAGGAGTATTGGAAGGAGCAATGACTGGGCCTGGTGAAGGTTGGGCCGTGCGTGAGGCATAAAGGGGAGTAGGAATTGTAGTAGGAGAGATGGAAGATGCAGAAGGAGGAGTGGTTGAGGAGGGGGGAGTTGCTGGGCCTGGGCCAGGGAAGAACGGATGTGGATCCGGTTGGGGAGGAGTGAGGGCCTGGGCTGGCGATGTGGGAAGAGGAGCAGCAGATTGTTGAAGGTGATCTAATACATAAGAAGAGAGACCACTATCCAAAAAATCATATGTATGTGTCGAAGGGGAATGCAATGATGCAAAGGGAAAGACATTCTCATCAAAAATGACATGGCGACTAATGATAATTTGACGGGATGACAAATCATAGCATTTATAACCACGATGATTAGGTGGAAAACCCAAGAAGACACAAGGAGTAGATCGAGGCTGCAATTTATGGATTTTAGTGGAAGGAATAAGAGGATAACATAGACACCCAAAAACCCGAAGATGAGAATATGAGGGAACCCTTTGATATAAAATTTGAAGAGGAGACTTATTACCCAAAAGTTTGCTCGGAAGAATATTAAGAAGATATGTTGCCATTTGTAATGCATGATGCCAAAAAGAATGGGGAAGGGATGCATGAGAGAGAAGAGTACGAGTGATATTATTGATAGATCGAATTTTTCGTTCGGCCTTCCCATTTTGAGGAGAGGTGTGAGGACAAGAAAGACGGAATGACATACCATTTTCCTTACAGAAATCCCAAAAAGGTCCATTGTCAAATTCCCTCCCATTATCACATTGCATAGTTTTAATATTACGTTCAAATTGGGTAACAATATGAGCCCGAAAAATCATAAACTTCTCATAAACCTCTGATTTTTGACCCAAAGGAAATGTCCACAAAAAATTAGAAAAATCATCCAACAATAACACGTAATATCTATGCCCTGCAGAACTCAGAATAGGTGAAGTCCAAATATCACTATGAATAATATCAAAAGGTAAAGAAGTACTCGACGTAGAAGAAGCAAAAGGCAACTTAATATGTTTTCCGAACACACAAGAACGACAAATACTAGAATTAGTGTTTCGATTACAATCAATGCTGTTATTGACCCTAAGAGCATCTAACACAGGAGCACCCGGATGGCCCAGTCGATCATGCCAAAGTGAGGAAGAGATGGCTGTAAAGGGTGATGGAGTAGTTTGATTGTGGATAGATTTGAGAGGATATAGGTCACCCTGACTATCACACCTCAGTAGAGGCATCCCCGTCTGAAAGTCCTTCACAGAAAAACCGAAAGGATCAAATTTAACCGAAACAGAATTATCAGTAGTGAATTTCCTAACAGAAATTAGATTTTTGATTATTTTGGGAGCATGAAGAACATTTTTTAATGACAAGGGAGGATTAGGAGAGGGCAAATATGTATGACCATAGCCACTAATAGGAATTGAATGACCATTTCCGACAATAATACCAGAATTATGATTGCTCAAATTAAAATAAGACGAGAGATTACCATTTGACGAGGTCATATGTGATGTAGCGCCGGTGTCCATATACCAAGTAGGATCGGGTGGATTTAGAGTCATGGTGTGCATAGCCGATGCAATGTCTGTAGGCACATACGAACTAGTCTGACCATTGAAAGAAGGAGCCACAGGAGCAGTGAAAGCCTGATATGCTTGTTGCGGGGGGCGTGGGCCCAACACCCCAGGCCCAAAGGTGGCAGTAGGTGGGCGAGCCCATCCTTGGGTAGGCATAGGGCAGGGGGGAGGAGCCCACTGAGACCACCCCCAGTTAGGAAACGGACCCCACCCCCAGAATGGACTCTGTTGCTGTGGCCGTCCTTGCGGGCCAGCCTTGCTGGAACGATCACCATTGCCGCCCCTGTTCTGCTTGCCATTGCCGCGGCCGCCTGAATTTTTTCGGCCATTCTGTTGCTGTTTTCGGCCAGAATGTTGCTGCACCCTCCCCTGTCCCGAATGAGAGGGAACAAAGGTGGAGCCATCGTCCTCATTCGGAGCAACGACCATGGCAGAATCGGACGCCATTGTCGCCTCCTTAGCTAAGCCCGATTCCTCAAGAATAAGCATGGACCTGGCTTGATAAAAAGGAGGGAGGGGATCACTTTGTCGGATCATT